TATCATGCGCTATGTACATCATATAACATGGATCCAAGGTTTGGTTCTTGTGGCCATTGTGTGTTGATGGAAATGTTGGTGTTTATGTTGATAATCATAATAAATTCAAAAGAGGGAAAAATGTGACATGCCTTCCTCCATTTGGGCAGTTTGATGTAGGTGTCCTGGGGCAGATCTGGGATGCCGTCAGGAATGATAAAGCTTCCCTCGTAGAAGGCTGGAAGGGAGAGAGCAGCAGGCTGAGGAGCGTCTGTTGGTTTCAGTTCACCGAGAAGTCCCTGACTGACCGCTTCATCGATACTGAGACTGTACATGGTCCAGCCGAGGAGTGTGTCTTTCCCCAGAGTCAGGTTGGACACCAGGCCCTGTGCAGCAAAGAAACCAAACAGGAAGTGGACAGAGGGAGCTCAAACAGGTAAGAGGTAAGCAATGGAATCCATAATCACATACTAAAATTGTAATATTATCTTTTTAGGCTTGTAGAACTGGAAATCCAGTAAAGCCTTGTGATAGTTATGCAGACACCTACTATATGTCAAAGCACACACTTTAAAAACTGTAGCTGGATAAAAACCTTAAAGTCGTTGATTTCTCTTCCGTAGTTGATCCGGCCCATGTTCTCCACCAGTATGTCAACCTGACTGCCAGCTTTCCCCGTCAAGTTGACAGTTATAGCTTTGTTTCTCTCGAGAATCCCCACAGCCACCTTCAGAAGAATTCAGCATGGTTACGTTTGCTGCATTTTTAACTCGGACTAGGTATCATTTCAAAACTATTTCTATAACTAGAGTGGATATGAAAACTGAGTTGCAGTACAGACACCAAAACAATACTCTCTTTTATACTTGACTATGAAAAATATGTTTTTCTACTAATCTTTTTTAGAAAAAGAAGCTAATGTTTTTTAATGTCCAATGTTTTCAGCTGCTGCTAATCTAAAATTGGGATAATGATAATCGTGCTGCCCTGTGTGTAATACCTGCTAAGAAACAATCAGACTCACCCCGTCCACTGACACATACGCTCTGTCATGGACGCCATTGAGTGGAGATGACAGTGGCGTTGGTGTGCTGCAGTCAACAGGCAGAGCCGTCCTGTAGAGCACATAACCAAAGGCCTACAGGACAAAGAGGAAAGAGATACATTTTAAAACAAATCAACAACTAAAAAAGGAAAAGAATGAATTATATTATAAAATCTAATAAAAAATATATTAAATAAATAAATAAAAATATAAATATAATATATAAATATATAAAAAAGAAGAACATTAAAGGATACCTGGTTGAGTTCAGTGAAAGTCTGAGGATAGATGCTTTTCACAGGGCCGGAGAACGACAGTTTTTCTAAGGCATCCGATATTGTCTGGAGCTGAGGTGGCAGAGGGCAGCTTTTTAGTATGTATTCTTCATGTTTTAAATCAGGTGACAAGAAGACTTTCAGTGGTGAGTTGCAGTAAACCATATGTAATTATTTGATCAACAAGATCAACGGCAAAGGCAACTGAGTGCATACCTTTTTCATCACGACAGTCCCATATGCATATTTTGGAGTTGTTGGTGGTATGGGTCCCTCTGGTATTTTACGGTACTGTTGAGAATAAAATACATTAGTTCTTCTAGATAACATAACAACAACTGTAACTGTAACAACAACAACAACTAAAGTGACGTTTAATACAAAACTACAGGCCTGCACTTTCAGTTCTTACCATTTTGATCACCTCCCGAATAGCAAAATACTTCTCTGTGAGGTCTCCTGCTTCCGTGAGCGGGGCATCGTAGTCGTAGCTTGTGGGCTGCGGGCCGTAAGGAGAATTGGCACCTGATGTATGAAGAGGCAATCAGAGGTTTTTTCTTTTTTTGGCAACAACCATGTGGCTTTGCTGTAAGTCACTTAAAACGATTACATCATCTCATTAAACCAGTCTGTCGAAGTGCGCTTACCATTCCAGTATCCGAAGTTTGTTCCTCCTATGAACATGTACCTGCGAGGAGAGAAGTGAAACTGAAATGTTGACAGAAATAAAGCACAACTAGATTCTAATAACTTCAAACTACAAAGCCATTATCTCTCTTCAAGACAATGCATTTTAGGAGGTACAATATGTAAAAAGTAACCAAGTCATTTCTGGCATTGATAGTTGATGTCCAGTGGATGGCACAGTCTTATGTTGAATCTGAAATCTGTTTATTTGCCTTTATTAATCTGCATTAGTGTGTCTGAAGCAGTGGTTTCCAACCTGGCAGTGGTCGCAAGGCCCTCTTGATTTTAAGGGTGTAGGAAAACTTAAAAAAATATACACAGTAGGAATAAATCTCAATGTAGCTCAAGTCAAAGTCAAGATTATTATTTAAGATCTAAACTTTGAAGACCTGAACACAAACTATATTCACACAGCCTTAAC